GGGAGGGGGGGGGGCGGGGTGAGGATGAAGACAAGAGGACACTGGAGTGGCAGCAGTGATGGTCCTTAACATGCGCACAGCGCTTTGCAGTTTACAAGCCACCTGACACTTGTCATTTCACATAGTTGGTAGTGGCTACTCTGAGTTATCCGTGGTGCTGTCCCATCTCTGCGGCACAGGAGGGAGAGGGGACTGGAAGACCACGCGGCGAGGCACTAGCAGAGCTGGAGCCGGAGCCCAAGCAGGTGCCAGCACCCAGCTCCACGCGCCTGCCACTCGGCTGCACTGCACGAGCTGGAAAGCAGGCCAGCGGGGTGCAGGGCTTGCCTTGGCCCCTGATTCGCCCCGTGATATTGGGGAGCAGCCAAGCCCTCCATCTCCCCGCCGGGAAAGCTGAGAGCGGACCCCAGGGGTGAATACGCTCAGTAGTTTGTAGCCACAGGGCTAGAGAGACGTGCCTGACGGATGCCCTCAGAACGGCACCGCAAGGAGGAAGGGCACCTGTCGCTCGCCTCCGCACTTGGCCAGCCACCCCTTCCCCACACCCCCCGCCCCCGCGCACCACGCGCCCCGTGGCTCCGGTTCATCGATCCGGGTTCCGGGTCTTCGCTGACGCCTCGTCACTCGGGAGACGCGGCGAGCGGCGAGCGGTTGCCTTGGGAACCTCGCGGCGGGCCCGGGCGCTCGGCGCACGACTCTCTCGGAGCGCGGGGCGCGGGGCCTGCACCGCGCGCGCGGAGTGTGGCCTTTGATGTCTCAGAAGGACACCTGTCGCCGAGAGCGAAGGGAGGGGGTGTCGCAAGGTTTGGTATGTTTCCTTTTTCTATTAATCGAGGTGTAACTTACAAGCCGTCATACCTACATCTTAAAGGGTCCAACTCGGTGGATTTTTACGTGTGCAGAAAACCTGTGATCACCGCCCGGATCAAAACACACAACGCTTCTAGCGCCCCAGAAGGCTTCCTCGGGCCCAGAGGTTATTTTTAATTGTCTTTTTTGCACTTCTCCTGGAATAAACCGGCGAGGGGGTGATCGCCTTCTGAGAACACGGACATTTTCGGAATTTTCTTCTTTTCTCCCGGCTCTGCTTCGCCAGGCCCTCTTTGGGCCTTGGTGTCCCCTCATGGAAGCCAGGGACTGGTTCCCCTTGTTGAGCGGTTTCCTGTTTGCAAAGCGCTTTAGAGACTTAGCTAACTTTGGCTCCGATAACTAACCTATGAAGTCAGTACTCGGTTCACACCCAGGTTACCCATGAGAACCGTGTGACTTGGAAAGAGGAAACGAATTGCCCAGATTCGGACAGCTCCTCAGTAAGTGGTGAAACTTGAGACTTGAACAAAGATCTGTCTCACCTTGATGGTCATTCTTCACCCCCCTCCCCTTTCCCCCATTTATTGGCCTCTTTTAAAGATCTATACAAATAAAATACGCTGCGAGAGCGGGTCGTGTATCCCATTTCTGTGCCTTGGGGCACATCGTTCCTTCTATTTGGGACTCCTATTCTTTTCTCCCAGGTTTCGTCCTTCAGGCAAGCTCCTACTCATGCTGCAAAACCCACTGGGGCATCGTCTGAAGCCTTCCTAACTGCAGTCCTCCCTCTCGACTCCCCCCACAACCAAGGGTAATTAGTCTCTCCCCTGTGTCATATTTAACTCTTGCACGGACCCCGCCTCCCACGGTGCCCCAGGGGCTCCTTGAGGCTTCCTCTTTGTTCACCCTGCAAGGCACCAGCACACAGCTGGTCTTCAACAAACGTGCTCGGAGCTAAAAGCCGAGGTTTTGGAGCCTTGGTTTCCGACTGTGTTAAAAATAGGGCCGCACTCGCTCTGCGGAACGTCGCTCAAGAGATACTGGGGGGTGGGAAGCTTCCAGAACACCTGGGCAGAACTGCAGGAGGAGAAAGGCTGCCCGCAGCCCACCCAGACTAGGTGAGGGAATGGACTTGTCCGCCCCTCCTGAATGACGCCTGGTGGGGGGGGGGGCTGCCTGGGAAGAGTTCATTCCTCCTACTGGGGGGCGCCCACTCGTGTAGGCCAGAGGATGCCATAGCGGCCCCCAGTGACCTTAAGGGAGTCCCAGGAGCTGGGGCCCATAGCTCCCCAGTGTTTCCAGGGCCCTGCCCAGCGAGAGGCAGCCAATTCACTGCTTTTCACTCGATAGCCGCACTTTCCTTCCACACGGAATTTGAGGCAGGTGGCAGGCTATTCAACTGGGCATGTAACAAAGTGTAACAAAGGGCGAGGACCAGGGAGGAAGAGATTGTTACACCCATTTGCTTTTCCCCCTATAACTCAGTAACCCCCCCATCCTCTCTCCTTTGACTCTGAATGTACAATTTGCATTGTCAATGAGGAAAACAGAACCCTTGCCCTTTGAGTTGAAGGACATTTCCCTCCTGGCGCCCGACCCCCCCCCC